GTCTTTGTTATGGGCGCCTTTCCCACCACATACCCAGGGCCTCTGTGAAACCGTGCAGGCATTTTCTTTTGTAGTCTAGGGCAGTGGTCGGCAAACTCATTAGTCAACAGAGCCAAATATCAACAGTACAATGATTGAAATTTCTTTTGAGAGCCGAAAACCGACTTCTGTGCATGGGCCACGAAGTTTCAATCGCATTGTACGTGCACTCCGGTACATGGTGTTTTGTGGAAGAGCCACACTCAAGAGGCCAAAGAGCCTTCTATACGTGGCTCGCGAGCCACCATTTGCCAACCACTGGTCTAGGGGGAAAAAACCAACAACACCTTTTTTGGGGGGTGCTGAGAGTGTCAGTTATTCTTTCTTGTAGGATCTGTACTCTTTTTTCTATATAAACAACATGGAGTCGGTAACTGATTCAATTTCCCTTTGACCACGTGAAGACAGATATGCATCATTTTCCTTTTGCCATTTTGTAACTTTATAATTATTTTTGATTTACTGGTTATGAAAACAATAGATAATCATTGTTAAAAACTTGGTAAGCTCAGAAGAGTTTAGATAAAGCACCAGTGAGCCGTTGCATATATCAGCATAAAAGTTTGCTATCTTCTTAAATGTATGTTTTTATAATAGATATTTTGACGAGAAATAGACTTTTAACGATGGCATAGGGATATTTTCTTGCAGTAGACAAGGAAGTGAAATCAGGAAAGAGGTGGGAGTAGTAGCGGAGTGGGGATTAATCTGGTTAACTGTGGGTCCTGGCAGGCAGTAAGGTTACACTGACAAATACGAGAAAGGAAATGACTCAGAACTCAGAGAGGGAGCTGAGATGAGATAGCCACATGGAAGACTGAATGGCTTATCCTACGTTTGGGACTGAGGTGAGGGACACTAAATTATTTGAACCATTGTAGAATTTAGTTTTCAGGTCAAATAATAAGCAATACATTAATGAGTACTTGTGAGTAATGCCCTTCCATTTGGCATTCAGACTAGGGGCCTCTCTGGACATCATCATGTAAGCTGAGCCTTAGGGTAGAGCTGGTGTCCTGTCCACCGGCTGTAGTGGCTGAGAATTTGAGTGGCTTGCAGAGTTGTTTCAGAGCAGTGAGAACTGCTCACTTAAGAAAGGCTCCCTCTTGTACTCAAGTCTTTGGAAAATACTATGAGTGACACTTTTAATTAACAAATCCACTGGGAACAAAACTCCTATTAAAAGCATTGGCTGAGTGTAGAGTTTGAAGAGTGGGCTGTGGAGGCTCCCACAGTCCTGGGGGAGTTCTGGCATCTGAAGCCATGGGTGCATTGTACATCTTCGGGGTCAGACCTATCTGAATGAGAGCCAGAGTGTCTGTCCCAGGGGGAGGAGGCTGGCCAGGCTCACTGGCAGTTCTTAGGCAGCTGGGCTCATCCACCACTGCTCTCCCCAGATCCTGGAGCCACAGCCCACTTGTTTTTTTATTTTTTATTTAAAAAATGTATTTTATTTTTCAGTTACAGTTTACATTGAATATTATTTTGTATTAGTTGCATGTATACAGCATAGTGGTTAGACAATAATAAACTTTACAAAGTGCCATTCCCTATCCCCCAATATTTCAAGTACCCACTTGGCACCATACATAGTTATTACAATATTGTTGACTCACAGCTCACTTGTTCAGAATGGCAGAATGGAGGGCCCGCATTTGGGAGTGTATCACTCTAGCTCCTGTATTATTTCTACTGCTGACTGGTAAGTGAGTGTGTCTGACCACAGTAGTGTCCTTAATGTCTGCTACCATTCCATGTCCATCCTATCAGGCTTTGTTTATACTGGTTCTCGAACAGCATCATTATTCATGGTATCAGAGGGTCTAAGAAAGGCTCATGATAAATGATTGCTCCCCTGTAGAAAGTATTTATGCAGGATCTGTGTACCTTGGGAAACAAGTTTTAATAGTATGGTCCTGAAGGAATAGTTAAAGAGTTTCTTAGCTCTAATTCCTTTGTTAAAGCAAGTTAGTTAACTTTGGCGTCCTCATCAATTGCTTTCTCACTCGAAAGGCCTGTTATACACCTCCTTCCCCATTCCCCCTGGGCTGGCTATGAGTTTCCACAGAACCTAAAGTTGACAAAAGTATTTTATGAAAAGCTTTAAACAGAATTTAAACATTATTAAACTGAAGGTGTAACTAAAACCATTGTTCCTTTTTCATTTTTTTATGCTTAGGTAATAGATTCTGATCTCTTTAGTTCAGTCTCTTCCCCCTCTATTTGTTTATTTTCTTAACAAGATGTTTTTGTTTTTTGTTTTTAAATCCTCACCCGAAGATATTTATATATCTATTTTAAATGACTTTAGAGAGAGAGAGGAAGGGAGGGAGGGAGAGAGGGAAACATCAGTGTGAAAAATATCTATCAGTTGCCTCCCATACATGCCCTGACTTAGAATCCAACACACAGCCTTTGTTTGGTGTAGGGGATGCCATTCCAACCAACTGAGCCACTTCATTACTCCCAAATCATCATTGATTTCTTCAAAGACTACTAATGGCTCCCATAGTACTGAAATGCAGAAGTCCCACCTTTTTTCCCAGGCGCCTCCCCCTCCCCCCAACCCTTTTTTAAAAACTCACACTCATTTAAAGTATTCTTGGGATACATCCAACTTTTCAATCAAGATAATGGATGAGTTCCCCAAGGCAATAGCCTCCAGTCTAGGATGGGGAAATCTGAAGAGGATTTAGCAGGGGCAGTGGCAGCATTTAATTGTGAGGAAACAACCTAGCGGCTAGGCCCTAGCCCATTGCTCAGTGGTAGTGGGGAGCACATGCCTGGGTTGTGGGCTCAATCCCCAGTAGGGAACATGCAGGAGGCAGCCGATCAATGCTCCCTCATCATTGATGTTTCTATCTCTCTCTCCCTCTTCCTTCCTCTTGGAAATTAATTAAAAATATATTTTAAAATAAAAATAAATGTAGCCCTAGCTGGTTTGGCTCAGTGGATAGAGCATTGGCCTGGAAACTGAAGGGTCCTGGGTTGGATTCTGGTCAAGGGCACATGCCCAGGTTGCAGGCTCGATCCCTAGCAGGAGGCAGCTGACCAATGATTCTCTCTCATCATTGATGTTTCTATAACTCTCTCCCTTTCCTTTCCTAAATCAATAAAAAAGTGAAAAATAAATGTGGAAACAAGGAACAGAAAATACCTTTTTCCCCCTGTGCATCTAGCAGGGTCAATATTGCCTGGGGGTTGGCATTGCAAACTGTGTTGGGGAGTGCAGCCAATTGTAAGGCCTAGAACAAAGGGCTGGCATTCAGTTTCTGCTATCAGTTTTCTGTCTCTGATAAATATAGAAAATCTCTGATACAGTACCTAAAAAAGGGCTGTGAATATGCTCATCTGTAAATAAAAATGTAATAAACTCTTAAAAAAAGATGGAATCGTGGAGTGGTGCGGAGTTTCTATAAGGCACCAAGGCACCCAGAATAACTTGTGACGTGGTTGGGAGCCAGTTAGGTAGAGCGGCCCGTCCATCCTTCCAAGGACATGTCAGAAACTGGGCAGAAGCTTGTTGTGCTGCTTTCTCTGGGACGGTCACAATAACAACAGCGGTAGTTGTATATAACTCAGTCTAATGTTTTCTCCCTCAGAGGCCTCTGTGCCTCAGCATCGAGGTGTCTCCTTAGTCTGGTGCCCCTGCCCTTCTGCACTTCCTAGTGCTTACTGCTGCTTTGCTCAGCCATATAGTTGTGACTGTGCACAGCAGAACATAGGCCTCTCGAGGGTTTAATGTGTCACCAAGATGGATTTCACAGGCCTTACTTTGTGTGTTTTTTTGTTTGTTTTGTTTTTTAATCAATCTTTATTGTTCATATTATTACAAAGGTTCCTCATTTCTTCCCCCCTCCACCAGGTTCCCACCCCACCCTCCACCCCCTCCCCATCCCCCATTGCCCTCATCCATAGGTGCACAGTTTATGTTCAGTCTCTTCCTCCCTCCCTTTCCCGGATAGTAAATCCCTTTTCAGATAGTAAATCAGTTACTTAGCATTTTCTCATATCAATAATACCTCCACATGCCCAATGATACACTTCACACAAAAGACATTTCCAAATAGGTCAACCAGCATCATCCAGGCCCCACCCAAGGCACTCACAGATCAACACCCCAGCGCTATACTAACTCAACACATCCAGATCTAAGCCTTCATCACTTGATTCAGCAGACCCTCAAGTTCCCGCAAAAGTTTCCAGCCATGTCTGAGAGGCAGCCGTGGGGCAGGGGCAGGCGAGGAGCGAGCTGTTTCGGGCCTGTCTGCTCCGGGACTGGCCTCTGTTGCTCTGGTTCGTTCCACAACCAGCTGCTCTGGGTCTGGTCACTGCCGCTCCTGACCTAGTTGCTCTGGACTTGGCTGCTGCTGCTCCGGGCCTGGCCACACCTGACCCGGCTGCTCTGGGCCCGGCCGCTCCGGGCCTGGCCACTCCCAGAACAGGCCTTACTTTGTAAGGATGCAGTAAGATCAGTGTTATGAGGTTGGTTTCAAAGACCTGGTCTTTGGCTGAAGACAGGTGGTGTTAATTAAGTAAGTTTGCGAGTGTGGGAGGGTTGGCAGCCTTGCTTCTGGACGGGAGCTCACACCATGGAGTCCCAGTAATTGGATAGCAATGATGTCCCCGAGGAGCTGGGAATGTAGGCTCCTTGGGCAGTGGTGAGGACTGCTGGGGTTTGTCTGTCCCCAGTAAGGCTTTACCTTTAAGAGGGGCATCTGGGACAGCTTAGTGATGGGCTTGTGTTCAGAGAGTCTCTGCAAAATCCCCAGAGTAGCCCCAGAGATGCTAGGTAAGTGACCTGACCATGGATGAAACCAAGTACAGTGTGTCAACTGCTGCTCAGCAGCAGGTCCTAAAGGAAGAAGAGCCAAAGTCATGGACTGTTGCGCTGTTATTGGTGATGGTGATAAAGATAACGATACTGAAAATTAAAAAGATAATTGTTTTCCTTCTTTTAGTCACATAGAAAAAATCACCACATGGCAAGATCCTAGGAAGGTGATGAATCAACCCTTGAATCATATGAGTCTTCACCCTGCCGCCACTTCCACACCAGTGCCCCAGAGGCCCATGGCCGTGTCCCAGCCGAATCTCGGTAAGCCATGCTTTGACTTGGAGTAGAATGCAGTGTTCCATCGTGGGGATGTGGGTTCAGAAGCAGCTCTGCTTGCTGTGGTGCCCATTTGTGCACCGAGAGAGCATTTTTTCCTGACTTTGGCTGCATTACTTGTCCACCGCCTTTGCCTTTTTTACTTGTCTTCTTTGCTACAGTTCACCCTAGGGTAGTGTTTACACTACTGGTCTGGCCTCTCCTCCAACTTCCTTTCTTGAAGTTCTTTGAAAAATCACACAGGCCTCTTGTCTTCATCCAGACTAGGGGTGTCGAACTCAGTCAGAGAAGGGGCCAAAATCTAAAATCCAGCCTAAATCGCGGGCCGAATGGTTTACTGAACAGTCATAAACTGTCATTGTGATGGAAACGCAGCGGAGTGCAGTGATGACAGCGCGGTGCGGGCCACATTGCAAGGCCTGGCGGGACGGATTTGGCCCGCGGGCCTTGTGTTTGACACATGTGATCCAGACCAAAGCAAGGAGGAGGGCACTTAGCCGCTTTCTGTGAATTTGGTCCCTGAAGACTGCCAAAGGGTACAATTCTGGTCTTGAACCCCTTCTTTTTTTTGTAGATAGGAAACTTGCTCAAAGTCACCACTTTCGGATAGCAGAGCTGGAGTTGAACCAAGGTTGGTTTGGTTTTAGAATGCATTCTATCATTATATGTCCTTCAGGTGGTTTCTCCTATACCTGCTCTGGGATAATTGACTCACTTGCCATTTCATTTAGAAAGTTTAAGTATGATTTTATATTTGAGAAGAATTTATCTTCTGCTAATTTCCTTTACTTCAGAAAACTAAAATTCTGCCCAGTAGAGATAACCAGTTGTGAATTAATATATTGTAGCAACAGAACTAATCAGCTTTTGTTGTAGTCATTCTCTCCCAAAGGCTAAAAATAAGATGGCAGTTTTAAAATTTCCTAAAAGATGGTACCATTTTCAGATAACATACCTATTTAAGAGCAAATATCTAATACTGCTTTATACACAGAACAGTTAACTTTGGAGTAAAAAGAAGTTCCTGCTGGATTGGCAGTATGGAAGTCCTTTTGCTAGACACCCTGCCCCCATACCCTGGCTTAGCCAGAGTGAGCATGAACTTAAGTAGAACCAAGTCAGCTAAAAGTAAATATACAGTCTGTTTTTGCAGGAAGTTTGGACCTACCATTTTAAAGCTTGCAGATGTAAAATATATCCAAAAAGCAAATTAATTGGGATAACTTCTGTTCTGTTACTTGTCTAAAAGGCAGATCAAGGAAAATGGTATCAATGCTTCTACCAGCAGTGGCAAGCCAAAACTTCCCGAGTCATTTATTCCCAATATATAAAAGCTCACATAGAAAGGAGATCCAAATGCAGTAAAGAAACCACATATTAGGTAAAGTTAGAGTAGTTTCAAGGTTTCTTTAATAATTTAATTTTCATTGAATATTATAAAAACCAATTATAAAGTATTAACCTTAACTTTATAATCACTATAATAGAAAAAAAAAATCTTTTATGGACCTGGTTGAAAAATTCAGCCCCCAAACTGATAGATATTTAGATATTAGTGTGTTACTAGTACATTAAATACTGCAGTTAATTTTAAAAAATTGTATAAATAGGGAGTATTGCCTATACACATGCACGCGTGCGCATACACACCTGAATTGATGATAAACTACATCTAAAGAAATTATAATCTGAATGTCTGAAATAACTTTACCTGTGGTTGAATAAAATACCTTTCCAGATTTCTAATATTTTGGGGTAATAAATTACTCATGATACACATTTCTGGGGATTGCCAATATTTGTCATTACAAAGTGTGCTGTTAGCCCATTGAGAATCACAGATGTGTCCTGGAGATGGAAATATACTGGGAAATGCAAAGTAAACACCAAAGATTGGGACAATTTAGAGTCACAATATGGTCTTAATAAATTATTTGCTCAGAACATTTTATTTCAAGCTATAGGTCTGCCTGTAGTTTATGCTTTTTGATATCAATCTTTAAATATATAAAGAATGGATTGTTTCCTTCTCTCTCTTTTAAGATTTAGAATAATAGGTCTATATCAGTGTTTTTATATATTATACTAGAGGCCTGGTGCATGAAAATTTATGCACTTGGAGCGGGGGTAGGGGCAGGGGAGGAGGAGAGAAGGGGTCCCTCAACCCAACCTGCCCCCTCTCATAGTCCAGGAGCCCCTCAGGGGCAGGAGGCGCCCCAGTGATCAGGGGAAGGCAATGCCCCCATCACATCTCTGCTGCTGCCACTGCTGGCAGCTCAAGCCTTGGCCGGCCCTGGTTACCTGAGCCTTGGGCGGCCCAGGATGGCTGGGCAGCTGGCACCTGAAGCTTGCCTGTACCTCGGGCTGGCCCTAGGCAGCTGGGCAGCTGACATCCGATGCTTGCCTGCACCTTGGGTCAGCCGAGACCTGAGGCTTGCCTGTGCTTTGGGCTGGTCCTGGGAGCTGGGGGACTGAGGGAACTGGGGACTCTGGAGGCAGGCGTGTGGAGCAGTCAGACCCGCCTGGGGATGGGCCCAGCCATGCTGCGCCTGCTGCCCCAGCGGGGCTGAGGGGACTGGGCGCCACCATCTTTTGGCTGTGGGCACCACCATATTTGAGGGTTTAACAGTCAATTAGCATATTTCCTCCTTATTGGCTGTGGGTGCTGTCATCTTTGTGAGGGCATAATGGTCAATTAGCATATTCCCTCTTTATTAGATAGGACTAGAGGTGCGTGAATTCATGCACAGGTGGGGTCCCTTATGGTGGCCTGTGGGGATTGGGCCCAAACCCCACAGCCCAACTCCGCCTGCCACTCCTGCCTGCTGCTCCCACTCATCCTGGCCCTGCTGCACCTGTAACAGGCTTGCACACAGTCAGTCCCGATCAGGAGAGGCTAGTGCTGCCACAGCAGCACTTGCCAGTCATGAGCCCTGTATCTGGCACCTAACCTGAGGAGGGGGCAGGGGAGCTGAAACATGATTGGTCGAGAGGTGGTGGGATGCCCTTGCCAGCCTGGGATACAGACCCATCCTGCTGATGTTCATGACACTTGTCTGGAGCCACCTGGCAGCTGCTTTTATGTTGTTTCTTCCTTGTGTTAGCATCTAGGGAGGGGAAGCAGCCCTGGTGCCTGAGGCTGAATTCCTAGAGGAGGATGGTGCTGTCAGCATATGTCCCTGTCCCATTCTCCAGAGATTGGACCTGCAGGACTACTGAGGGAGTGAGGAGCTGCCTCCGGACTGGTGGGCTGGCAGGACTGGGCAGGGCAGTCAGCTGAATGGCGGCGCTCCAGTTATGGGAGCACACTGACCACCAGGGGGCAGCTCCGGTGTTGAACATCAGTGCACATCATAGTGACCAGTCGACCAATTCTTTAGTTGTTCAGTCGCTTAGGCTTTTTTATATATAGATATAACCTATGCCATATATATTAGAATATAGAAACATAAGATCAAAATTTTATGTCTGTTTTACATCAACTGCATTTTTTTTTCTTTTACCTTTTGAACAGAACATATCCTCCCTCTCCCACTTCTCCTCTACCTTTTTCTCTTCCTCCTCCTTGAATCTAGAAGTTTGATCTTTTCATGGAATATAGCTGACAAAAAAGATAACAAATGACACATCCCTTCACCAGGAGGTATTTATGTGTGAAAATGATGTAGAAATATAGTTAATAATATTACCATCAGATGATAGAATTCGTACCATTCATATATATTTCTCTAGTTGTGATATAATCAGTGATTTAGATAAATAAATTTCTCAACAATTTTTTTTTCTGTAAGTTGGGTACATGAAGTTGGGGGTCAGACTGTCAGAATTTGAACTCTGCCCATTACTAGCTTGGCTGGGACAACACATCCCCATCTTTTAAAATGTTTTTGCCAAGTCTTGACCATAATGGCTCAGTTGGTTGAGCATCGTCATGTGCAGTGAAGGCTTGTGAGTTTGATTCCAGATCAGGACACATGCCTGGATTGCAGTTCTATATCCAGTATGGGGTGTGCAGGAGGCAGCCTATCAATGTTTTGTTCTCACATAAATGTTTCTCTCTCTCTCTCTCACTCTCCTCGTTTTTGAAAACAAAAATAAACAAATCAATTTTTTTTTTAAATCTTAAAAAACAAAACAAAAACTTCATCTTTTTGCCAAGAAAAGTCACATACAATTTTGCCTTTTTGGAGATAATCCTAGCAGTCATAAACCATGTGCTGGGCTCCTGTCACATGTTAATGGTCTCTTTGCTCAAGTAAGGCCCTGGCTGGGGCCACCAATGTTCTCCTAGACAGGACAAAAAGTAAAGATTGTATAAAACTTTTACCAGATGGCCATCTCTAGCCAGTTTAGAAACTTTTGGTTAAGTGCAGCCAACATGTTTTTTTTAAATTATTGGAATTTTTAAAAAATCATGTGTGTGCTCACACACTTCCTCTCTTTGAAGGTGTGCCATCCCCTAGGCCAGAGTTGATGTCCCTCAGGCCTATCTTCTTATGTACTTCAAATTACAAATATATGCATGTTTTTTTGGTTGTGTGGTTTTTTGTAAGGCATACTTTTCAAGATAAGATGGAAAGAAAATTGTCTGTGCCCACTTGCTAAGTTGGCTCATTCTTCTCTTTAGGAAGTATACAGAGACACATAACAATTTTATCAAAAGCAAATAAAATAGCCTGGCATTGCTTAAAGTATGTGGAAGGTTTTTATGTAGGATATCTATTTCTTTTCCTGTCTTTTTTCCTTGTCAATTTTATGTGGTGAGTTCATGGCAGACACATCTGGCTACTGTGTTTTTTTCTAGCTCTGATCTTCTCACTAATTTTTGAACGTTGTGGTTTCTGCAGTATAAATTAGCCTAAAGTGCACTAGCACATGCACACTCAAACCCAAAGATATACTGTCAACTTTCAGACTTTATGGGGGAGGGTGTAGATGATGAGGGACTGGTAGGATTGGGATGGTGGAAAGTGAGTGTTTATGGA